GGATTGAGTATTTCTTTGTATGCCTTTTGTTTTTATCTCCCAATTTAAATACTGACCTATTCGATTGGAACTTTCCTTAGAAAATGTTTGTGTCGATAGATGTGTAAAATTGACAGGTATTGATTTTTTGAATTCGTCCATTTTCTAAAGTTAGCTATTTTAAGCAAATGTTAGTAGTAGTGAACCTTGATTTATTGTTAATATTACAATTTAAACTCTCTAAAGTCTAATTTAAAGTACGAGTCATTATTTGATACAGCATTAAGACATATAGTATATGTATATAGCATATACAGCGTCCATACGATGACATTTAAACTCAGCAAATAATCGACAAATAGTTGATCATTACAGAACAAACTAAGAACCGATTCTCTTAACCACCGTTTTCCAATGCCTCCATTCATTACTTTTGCACATTGGTTAGTTAACCGATGGTTATTACTAACAATAGCTATTGTTGTAGTTTTCTTCTTTTCAAAATGGCTAGCACTGTTTTGTTTTAAAAGGCTTAATATATCTTATATGAAAATCTTAATAAAGTTTATTATTATTTATTAATCTTAATTAAGACTTAATTTATTTTTGTTTTATATTATTAAAATTTTTTTATTTATTTAAAAAAAATTTTTTTATAAAATTCAAAAGAATTTTTAATTTGATTTGAATCAATGTTAATCAAAATTTCATATAATAACATTCGTTAACCGATAAAAATCTGACGGTTTTGGTAACCGTTAAACTAACCTCTAGTTAGTTAAACTAACGAAATCTTCTCCATTTAAAATTTAGGGAAATGTGATTATTGTTAGTGTAGTAACTGCACTATTAGACACTTAACATATGTTCTAAATATAACTTTATTTACTATCTCTTTTATAGATAAAATAGTATCTCATCATCTGCTTTAGTATTGTAAAACGTCCATTTACTACAGTCAGATTAACCAGCATTTATACCGGAAGTAAAAATAGTAGCTCTAATAGTCTGTCATATGACGACGTTTTAACATTTGTATATAGTTTGAAGTTTGACTCAAGCAATACATTATAACTGATAGCTACCATTTAGCAACGCATTATAACTGATTATACCTTGCTGTTATACATTCATTACACAAGTTAGTGTAGAAATGTAAACAAAATTTATTTTAAAGAAAAATCTAATATATTTATTTTACACTGATAAAAATAATTTCAAATTTCGATCGTCACTTCAAAAAACGATTCCAATTCGTACAACTTTTATTGCTGTTGTTTTGCGAACCAATTTGATAATTAGTTAAATGGGTCCAATACTAGTTAGTTTACCAGTTTTAGAAGTGCGTCATTTACTGAGTCTATTTTTAAACAAAAAATAAAAAACAAATTGTTAAGGCAAGATGGTATAGAAATGAGGAAGTGCTTTGCTACCATAAAATCGATGGAGTGTATGTGTGTGTGAAAGAGCGGACACAAAACTATGATTGTGTTCACATGTGCCTGTTCTCACGATTTATTGAACTTTAGTCATTTCTGTGTGTTCGGGAAAGGTAATAAACCTTTACAAATTTTATATATAAAACAAAAGTTTATTATAAGAGATTCAAAATTTGTATTGTATATGCATACACATAATCTAATGATACTAGAAAGAGGAATTTTAGTTACATTTCCATGTATTAAATGGTAGCCTTACGTGCATTTTCCTTAACGTTGCATATGTGCTAAAAATGTTTGGATTAAAAAATTGAATGGCTGACACAACACAGAAATAATTAAATATGTATAGTATAAAAAATAATTAGTAATTTCTTGTATTATTAAATCTGTGAAAAAGAAATTGTACTTTGAAGAATTTATGACCTTGACATACTTATAATTATAATTATATAAATCGAAATGTGGAACATAAAACAAGGAATTAATTCCAACTAAAGTCATATATTGCTCGTTATATACCTAAACACATATTATTTCAATAAGCTTAGGAAAAATTAAAATAAAATCTTAAACCGATAAGATCCATACATATATAGATAAGAAACATATATACATATATACTTTCAAACTATGGAGATATGTAGATTTTAAAAAATGTAAAACTGTCTGAAAATTTTTACAAATAATTAATTTAAGTAATCTATTAATAAACTTACGAAATATTAAAATAAAATCTTAAACCGACGACATACTGATTATTCTACCGAACTGAAGATTGCGAAGAAATATATCAGCTTTCAAACTTTAGAGATATGTAGATATTAAATATGCAAAACTATCTCAAGCTTTTTATAAATAATTAATTTAATTAATCTATTAATAAACTACTCTTAATATAAAAAGTTAGAAAATTAAAACTCATGTTTATAATTTATTTATTATTTTAAAAATGTTGTACTATTAAAATTGATCAGTTAAAAATTAACAACAACTTCTATAAACACAAATTATTTAAATACAATTTGTTGTACTGGAAACTAGTATTGTTGTTAATATATATTCGAAAATATAGTATTACTACGTTAGGTTATACCGGCGGTTTACTCAGGCCTAAAGGCCCATTGTGCTATCGCATATTTAAAAACTCAATGGTTAGAACCACTTAGAACCTTTGGCAAAGATAGTATTACTAACTATACAAATGACTTATTTAAAGTTTACTGAAGCTGCTGGACAAAGTAATACTCGATAATACTTTTCGAGTAAGAACTTTCTTATTTTTCAAATTAAGATATACCAAAACTATATGTATAACATATGTACTTTTGATATACTTTAATTTTATATAATATATACATTTTTTTGCTCTTAAGTTGAGAATTTTTACCATGTAAAATAATTATTTTAAACCTTTTTGTTCACTTTCTTACAACATTAGTAAGACCTCTTGACTATCAAAAAATTTAAATTAATGTAATTTATCTAGAAAAAAAAAACACAATTATACCGTATTATGGCCTTAAAATAAAGTTGTACCATAAAATACATCAATGTTGTAAAAACGTAATAGTTTGCTATTATCTTAATTAAGATATGATAACACTCTTTGCCGTATATAAAGAAATTGAATCAACAAAATGTGTAAATCACTTTATAACTTGCCCCGACATCCTGGTTATTAAACATTCATTGCATAAGTTAGCAGCAACATAAACCCGGATATCCGGGCTATGATACGAGTATCATAAAATATTGAAAAACGATTTTTCTATTAAAAAAATTAAACTATTTTGAAACCTATATGTATATAAATCTCGTTTTGCACAATCTCGAAAATAAACAATGCAAAATATTATATGAAAAAGCTACGCTTATTTAAAACAAAAACAGAATCGGAAGTTAAGTTTTATATAAATCTTAGCTTTCTTTACATAGAGTTATTTAGAATTCGGTAACAAAAATTTTGCAGATTTAAACCATAAGTCCATAAAACCGCTAAAAATGTAAAAATTTCTAACATTAAAGAGGAATACCTCTCATAGTTTTTGAGGTAAGTATGTTAATAAAATGTAAAAATTAACCTATTTGAGCCCAAAATGGGAGCGGTTCAGATAGGCTGATTATCCCTAAAATTTCATTTTAATATCTCTACTGCTTCAAAAAAAACAGAATTTTGATCGTCTAATTTCTGTTTTGGCACACTGCGCGTTGTCGAATCGATGCGCCTATAAATAGGAATCGAACCAAAATTTACAACTTAAAAGCTCTATAAGCTATGCCGAGTATATGCAGTGAAAGTACTTCTCATAATAGCTATTTCATCAAAATCAAATTAGGTCAAATTATGGAAACCTAAAAATTGTTATCATTCCTAAAAATTAGTTATAAGGAATTTTTACGGAGTTAGTTTTAAAATCTTTCTATATAGATTTTAACGCAACCAACGAAATTGTGCATACTTCATACTAAGGCCGTGTGCGAGTTCGAGTAAATTGAAATTTTATAGGGATTTTTTGCACTGCACTTATGTAAATATTTATTTATTTATTTATTGCACTTAATTCATTATTTTTTGTTAAAAGTTTTCAAATTTATTTATTTATTTATTAAATATCTTATAAAATTTTTACAATAATAACACCTAATTTACGTAATTTTTATCTAATTTACCCTACTCTGGTAAATACCAACTTTCGTTGCCATACCAACATAATTTACTATTTCCTCTTAATTTACCATCAATTTACTTGAATTCGTACACGGCCTATATAAATACATTTTACTTTTCAGCCCTAGCAAATCGACACTATAAGCGGAACCAACGAAATTGTGCATTCTTCATACTAAAGGTAATATTTAATAAATATCATAATTATATATAATATTCAATAGATAATAATAATTTTATAATAACCTTAGGTCAAAGGCCATTGGACCCATTGAATTTCAAATATTAAATAACGTACAATATATTTCATATGCCTTTTCTTTGTTTTTGGGTCTTTATTTAAACACGTAACATACACATGAAAAGTTAATACATAAAAATCTGTATGAATGTGAGTGGATTTTTTTCATAGTAGCGGTATAAAGTGGAACTCAAAAATCAATTTTATTTGAGAAAAAAAATCTTACATTCTTTCCATATATGTATATAGGTATGTTCACTGTTTACCTTTTATCTGTATTCATTTTGTCAGGTGGTTCAGCATTTTTACTGAAAAATGATATGTAAAATACCATTTCTGAAAATATTTACTCCGATCTTCTGATATTTGATTTTTTATTATATTTTATATGTAAAATTATTATTTACTCAAAACTTCCTTTTATTTTTTTACGTTAGTAATCGTTTTTATTTGAATTTTGTATTTTGTATTTTATAGCAATTTTCACTGCCTTTGTACTGACATATGACAGTTGAAAATATATTTGAAAAATTTGACAGTTTTAAATTTTCTTTTTATAGGGAAGAAGTAAAACATAAAAATATCCATTTTCGTTATCGATATCAACACTAGGCGGCATATCTTCACACGGTATTGTTTTTATATTTAATTATTTTTGTTTCTTTTGTTAATTTTTTTGTTAATTTTTCTGCTGACTGGTAGTAGTAAATGGTTAAAATTATTTTTAACTTGTTTGTTGTCGCCAAAATCGATGTGATGGTGTATTAACAATATAAAAAATGACGTCAAGGTGATAGAAAACACGAAATCGATATTGAGACTTAAGCTGCGTGCAAATTTACTGTAATTTGTGGTCACAGCTTATTAAATATTTTGAAATTTTCTCTGCGCGTATGTGTTTTACACATTTAAGCCTTAAATTGAATAAATTTCAAATACAAATCAATTTGTATTTTAATAATCCACCGTCGATCAAATAATATAATTTAAACACAGATTTTTGTAGATAACGCACACGTTTGCAAACACAACAGAACACGCGAGCAGTAGCCGACAACTCCACGATTCGATCGAAATTCGCGAACTGATTTTCGCTGAAGAGATTTTAACGTTCAAAGCAGTTAACCAGCAAATTTACTGAGATAGAGAAGAATCCAAGAAGAAACAGACGGTAGCGTACTAAAGTGTAGAAGGTAAGGCCCCTTTAAAGGTTAAAATGAAGGCTACAAACTCATTTTTTTTTAATTTCTATTCAAAAACAACAATTTTATTAACATAAAATAAACAATAGGAATAATAGGACTCTTCTGGTCGCAGTACCGGCTGTTGGGAAACTTTCACGTCTACTTTTTTTTTAAAAAAACATAAAAATAGATATGTTCCACTAAGTACTCGTAGTAAAACACAAGTAAAGTACTAACTGAGAGCGTAACACAAATAAAGTGCCAAATTACGCTCTTTACACAGATTTTTATGGAACAGCTTTGTGTAAAGTTTGGTGAGAACATCAGTTTTTTTTTTTCAATTTATAAATTATTTATTGGATCTTTTTAAAAACGAAACTAACAATATTTCGATCAAATCTTAAAACTAAATTTATTTTTTTCCCTTTGCCATTGCTTTGGAAAAAACTATTGAGACATTGAACTATTTATAATAAGATAAGATTGAAAATTAAAATTAAAATTAATATTGAAGAGAACACCAGTGCCGCGCAAATAAACAATCCAAAACTTTAAATTCAAACGAAAACAGCTGATTCACACATCACACAAATTTTACTTGAAATATGGTAAAATGTGCCACTAAGGTCTGTGTAGCATTTTCAAATTTCGAAGTAAGTGTATTTTTATATAAATATGTAAGCAAATACATACAAACATAATTACCAATTTAATTTATGCTCCCACTGCAGCAAAATCAATTTATATTAATTAAATTAAGATTTGAGCTGTTTCCATTGGCATAAGTTGATTTATGCATTTGAAAGAGTTTTTATGTGTCAGATAGATCTATGCTCGTTTTAGGAGAGTTGGTGGTTCTTTACATTGTTACGCCCATGTAATATAGAGCACGAGCACATCAAAATTGGCTCTTTCGGGTTATATCGAAAATGTCACATCAGTTCGTTTTTTTACTATTACTTTTGTACTTTTTGGTTGTGTTCAAAATTAAAAGGAAATATATATGTAAAAACACAGAACACGGTATGACCGAATTTAAACAAACATTTGTTTGTTTTCCAAGTCCTAAATTTCTCACAAAACTGTTAAAACTGAATTAGTTGACATAAATATTGATATCGTCATAAAGTAGAAATAAAAATATCCAGAAATGTTTAGTTTTCTATAACACACACATAGTATTATAATATAATAAAAGTTTAATCTGAACATCGTCTACTAACTGTGTAACACTAACGGTGTTTTTGATTAGTAAACCTGAATTCAATCTAGATTTACTCTCGATTTGTCAAATTTTGTTGCCCCATCAAAAATTTTTAAAGTAATCTTAAATTTTTGTAATCCTTAAGTAGATATTTATATTTTTTATAAATGCATATATCGACCCAAACCAGAATTTACTTGTCGTCATATAAAAAAGCTGTTCATTTCAGGGTAATCTTGCTACTCTGGCAAAATATCTAGAGTATTATAAATTAATCTCAAGTGTTATACATCAATCTCGAGCGTTAGACAGATTTACCAATCGAAAATGAAAATTGCACTAAAAGTGAGTCTCGAATAAAAAAGTTACCCCAGATTTACCAATCGAAAACACCATAACTGCAAATTTTGGAATATTGCTTAATTTTAATTTGAAGCAGTATGTAATGTTGTGTCTGAAACGTCAATAAAATATGCCTTAAAGAAAAATACGTTTAATTCATTAAATGACATTATAAAACTATTTTTAATTTATGTGAATTAAGTTCAAAACATATTTGATATAATAGATAATTTATTTGTGTACCGGTACATGAAACTGTAGAACCTATAATTTTTTAAATCAGGGCTATAAACTAGTTCTAAATAAAATCGGTTTTAAAGCGGAACAATGAACTGAACTATTTGTTTTGCAAATTCTGAACCGAAGGTAATGGTATATAAATCGGTTTTTAAACTGAACTAATGGTTTAGAGTAACAAACCACTGAACGTAAGCACTTTAGAAATTTCTGTAGTATACAACGCTTATATATCTGGCTAATTGCTTCTTTTCAGTACTATTCTTAGTGGATGTGAATATTTTTTGGTTGCTAGAACTAGGTAGTAACAAAATATGGGACTAATTTTATTCTTGAAGTTAAATCAATGGGCATTACATATGGAAATTGTCGTTGGAATGAAAAATCACTTAACAGATCATAGTCTATATTTTCACTACATAATAAAGTATGTTTTTTCAATTTAGCATAAACATTTCTATAAACCTAATATATTATATACTGTTATATATTTTAATTCGATCACTATAATTCGCAACTGATAATATTACATGGAAAGATATCTCCAACGTACACATACACATAATATATTGTGCGCCTTGAAAGAGTACGCCTATGGTTTCAAATTTCTCTTCTTATTCACGACATGCAAATGTGTTACTTTATTTCAAATTCATTTGGTATTTGTTGCGATATATTCTTTACAGAAACTTTAAAAACTATTTTTATTAAGAGTAATGCTTGATTTGTGCAAGCGTTATGTAAACTGTGGGAATATTAACTTGGCTACTGCTAAGTCTTCAATATTTTAAAATTTTTGCAGACTCTTTTATCGAATAAATATACCACTTTTTCTGTCGACTGAAACCGCTATCATGTTTTATCCAAGTTTGCTTAAGTTTCTAAATTTTCTGCGTATATTTTTTTATTCCTTATAAATATATTTCACACTAAATAATTTATGTTGTCAAAAAAATATTATTTGTACTTAACAAATATTTTTTTGTTAAGAACATTTTATTCATAATTTTTTCAATGTATCAAGAGAATACTTTATTAATTGCATAGTTATATATGTACACATATATGTTAGAATGATATATACATCTAGATATGTAAATAAGTACCATTCTGTTATTTAAGCCATAATTTTTTCTTTCAGAGTAGCAAAAAAATACTCGCAACTTACAAAAGAAAACACGTGAAGCAACAACAATGCTGTTAAAATCTTCAGAGTTAAATTTTAGTGGCAAAAAAATCTTTTGTCTAAAGGTGCATCTACACCAGAGCGAACGCTTGCGAACGAACGAACTGCGGTTACCTGCGAATGTTCGTTCGTTCACTTTGGTGTAGATGTACCTTTAAGTTTCAGTGTAGTCAAATCTGAAAATCAGTCTATTGTGAATGTTCAATGGAAATATGTTGCAAAATTCCAGTTTACCGTTAAAATCATATGAGCAGAAATAACAAATTGCAATATATCAAAACAATAAAATAAAAAGTGCTTACTATTACTCTTCTATTATTTATTTTGTTTTCTTTTATTTAAATTAAATAATTTTGAGTGTTTACAATTTTTATATTTCATATTTTACACAACAAAAACATATGCCAAAAACGCTTTTAACATATTTTAAAAGTAATGCCAATTGTTTCAACGAGACTTAATACTGTTTTTCTACAACTGAGAAAGAAAAAATTATGGCTTTAGCGATTTCTTTTACTGGTGCTGATACCGATACTGCACAAATTTAAATATATTTATTATCTCCATGTTTTGTTTTATTCTGTTATTCACAATTTCTAAAACATAATCATTAGTACTTATACAGAATATAGTACATATATGTATGTTATAAATAAAACAATTTAATTTTGTTAGATTAAGATAGTGACGTAGCTTCGTGGGTGCGAAGGGCGCAGATCACACTGAATTAGACTGTCACAGAAGGATGCCAATAAAATAAGAATATATAAATAAAAAAAGTGTAGAGCTGGGAATGCAGGTAGCTATAATACTTTGTTCTTTACACTACATTTAGTTTTAGTTCACTCTTGTATCGTATCTCAGTAAACTAAGTTAGTACAGGATTGCAACTGGCAGATCGTACAGCTCAACCATATTACATGATTATGGCGACTAATTGTGTTAACGAATTAACGACAATTTTGTGCATACATATATGGATGTGTCCAGACCGATACACTTCTTCCTTCAGAATAGGAGAGCTGTTAAGATACCCAAAAGAATTTCAAAACCAGAGATACATTTAAATTTGCATTAAAATTAGTATTCAGACTCTTTTCTTTATATATTGGAAATTCAAATTTTTCACTGGCGGCAACCTGTGATTACTGTGGCAATAACCCTAAATACGACACTGAGTTTGCGATTCCAAAAATGGTAACAGGCTGAACGAAACATAGTACCACCGTTGAAAAGTTTTTCTATACGAACTATAATATAGAAAAACATATGCAACTCTTAACATAGATTAAGAATTTGGTCAAAGGCAGCTAATGTACTTGTACTTTTAATTCTTATTATCTGTTAATTGCAACGCTGTTAATTTTACGAATTAAATACTGTCTATCTTTATTAATGTAATATATAAACTCAATTCAATATGCAATATATATACATATACAGTAGAGAAATACAGTTTTCGATTTACCTTCTTCTGATGTTATCCGTCTGATCTTGATAGAGATTTGGACTACTGCCATGATGGTGTATGAATGTATGTTGTCTAATTTTTGACGGAGTTACTAAATCTTCTCGACTTTTACTAATGCTGTTTGTATATGGTTTCATGTTATGCCTTTATCTGATTACTGCTTATCAAATGGTTATGCCATTTTTGTTTAAAAAATTAAAAATCTGAAAAATAAATAATAAATAAATTAAATGGACTTTTATTATGCAACAAAATTTTGAATATAAATATGTATATAATAAAAAGTAAAGATATAAATTTATTATTTCATATTAAATTAAAAAATATCAATCAACAAAATATTATCACGCAACCAAAATAATAATGATACATCATAAATTTTTTTCAAAATTTTAGAATACTTTTTACATAATTATTGCCTATTAGTTCCATTTTCTAGTATATGCGTTATATGATTCCAGCATGATCTCTAATGTATTCAAGTTATATTATTTTTCTAATTATAACTTTCATATTTTAAAGATCAAGTGATATAAATTCTTTTTCGATTTAACAGAATATTAAAAACATATTTTTAAAAACAAGAAAAAAGTTTGGTATTACCTTTGTGAACCTTCCAATAACCTATACACAGTTATGTTACATATTTCCTATTAACTAGAAATACTCTTGAAGGTATTTCCATATTTATTTTTTGCTATGAAATATAGCACTTTATTAAATTAAGATATATATTCACACTCTGAAAAATATGGTCCACACATTATTTCACCACAAACTAGTTAAATTGACCTGATCATTTTCTTAGAGAAATCTTAGCTGATGTTTATGTGATATATGAGTTATCATGGTTATCAGTTTCTGTATTTCCCATTAGAGCATCGTCCCTCTAGGTTTCTGGTATATTTGAATTTTTGCTAAGAGAACATGAATTTTTTAGCTCCATGTCCGGTGTGCAGGCTGTCGAGGCAGGGGGATTTCTTGTATCCCGATTACCCCTTGGAAACTTTGTAATCGTGATATTTTGTTCTATGTTTTGCTAAACTCTTAATTCAAGAGGATAGATTTTCGCACGATAGGTATAAACACAAAGCCGGTGCTTAGTAGGATCTATCATCGTTTGAGTGACTGAGCACATTAGTTTCCGCCGCTTCTAACATGAAGAACAGACTCGGTTTGGAACCGTTCCAGTGGAGCTGTATTTTATGATCACCGTAATATGTAGAACAGAGGTCATATTTAAGCCATACACATGCATGACCCTCACCATCTTCATCTGCTGTGACACACGGGTGCTGCTTGCATATCCCAGTTTACGCCCTTCAGCTGCTTATGCATTCTCTGACTTCGAAAAGGATGAATTGAAGGTTGGCTGGAGAGCTAGGTCGTTCGCCAGTTTTAACAATGATACGCTACTCCAAAGCCCTTTGTTACCCAAAGCACTTTGAGATATGAATAGTACAATTTTAACTCTATGTTAATTGCTACTGTTGAAGCGTACTTAATAGACATTAAATGAGATGTATACGGATTTACTGAACCAGTGTTCAGTTCCCATGGGTACATAAAGAAAACATGAAAACCAACTTGTTGTATGGTTGAATCAATATGATTTAACCTGAAATTTAGTTAAAATCAGGTTAAATCAACCCCAATTATTTTTCTGAGTGCAGTCTTTATTTCCGGATTCTATATAGTCAGCTGTTTTTTTTTTGACAAACTTGACAAGACAAAGTATTATATACTTTAAATGTTGTAAACTTTAATTTAAAAAAAAAATACTGTCAAATAAAAAAAAATATAATAAATTAGTTTGAAAAAAATTTATTTACAAACTTTTATTTTAGTTAATGCATAAAAAATAAAACAGCATCATGGACGAGTAAGTACACTACAAATTCATTATTGTCGTCAGTTCCTGCACTCCTAGTTGAGGGAAGGAATTTGTTTACAAAGTTTTATATAAAAATTGTAAATATATATATTTTATAGTTCTGAGTCAGTTTCATGCGGCACGGCATGTGTTAATTGTTGTGGCTTTCACTGGAGAGGAATGCTAATGATTCTTATTCCATTGGCGTTTTCCCCCATTGTTCTCTTTAATCTGGGCAACGATGTGAGTTCTGGCAGATTTTATAATATATAAACTGACATTTTTATATATAAAATTTAGGCACTTCTTTGTTTGTACATTGTGTGTGTTATTGGCATCTTTTGGATAACAGAAGTTATACCGCTACATATCACATCAATCATACCTGCCTTTTTACTACCCATGGTTGGCTTATTGGTAAATTTAATTGCATAATTTATTTTAATTAAAAAATAATACTTGGTTTTTTGTTTTTGTTTCTAAATTAGGATTCATACACCGTGTGTGCACAATATTTTAAAGATCCGCTAGTTATGTTTTTAGGGGGACTTATGCTAGCACTCGCAATTGAGTATTGTAACTTGCATAAGCGCATTGCACTTATGACGATTAAAGTTGTGGGTTGTAGTCCTAGACGGTAAGTTTATATTAATACCAATACCAATACCAATTGTAATAAATGTGTGAACATATATACATATATTTGACTTTGTTGATCGCAGCTTACATTTGGGATTAGTGTGTGTTGCCTCTTTTATATCCTTTTGGATGTCCAATTCAGCAACAGCTGCAATGATGTGCCCAATAATTAAAGCAATTCTTATGGAGCTTCATGATGTAGATATATAAATTACTTTTATATTTTTTTATGTATATAATAAGAGTTTATTATTACAGCAAAAAATTATTAACATTTACCATTCATCTTCTGATAATGTAGCTAATGAAAGAGAGTAAGTGAAATATAAAGTTTACAGAGTTTCAAATTACAGTATTTCCCCTTATAACGCGGTACCCTTTTCAAATTACGCGATTTTAAACCCCCGTATAACACGGGCATTCCCCCATATAACGCGGGGATTTGGAGAGTTCATAGTTAGCTTTGCTTAACTTTGCACGTGTGTATACGTGGTATACGGGAATACCTTTATAACGTGGAACCAATCTACCGCGTTATATGCGGAACCAATCTACCGCGTTATAGAGAGTATTATTCTATTTAACATTTTTTAAGAAAATTGCCATCGAAAATTGCTGTGGGTTATTACTTAAGTACCATATATGGGATTTCGATTGGTGGTTGTGCTACTCTTATAGGTTCGGATACCAACTTGGTGTTCAAAGCTATTTATGAAGCGTAAGTTTTTTGTTATATTTTGGCTTTCAACTCACTTCTGTTGTTTTCATTATAAAGTTTCTTATTTAAAATTACATTTTAGTCGCTTTCCCGAAACTACTCAAAAACTTGACTTTCCAATATATATGTTGTATGCTGCGCCTATGTGCATTATTGCAACTGTCTTAATCTGGTTCATAACGGAAATCACACATTTTGGCTTCGGTCGCCCAAATAGTGAGGAGGGTAAGGAAGTCGCTGCAGGGTCTCAAAATGCAGATGCTATATCCTCTCTGATGAATCAAAAATATAATGAATTGGGTCCAATGTCATGCCACGAAATACAAGTTGTTATAATATTTTTAATTATGATTACTATGCTTTTTACGCGTAGTCCAGGTTTCTTTACTGGATGGGCTGATATTTTAAATGATAGGTAAAAAGAGTACTGTTACTCGGTACTGTTTTATGAATATTTACATTAATTATAAAATTTTTATTATTATAGTGAAATTGAGAGCTCTATGCCTACAATGTTTGCGGTATTTTTTTTATTTGTGTTTCCAATAAAATACACTTGTGGTAGATTTTGTAAAGGGAAAGGTAATTATTGTGTATGATATTAATGTTATGCTTAAACAACTTCACTTTTTTACTTGTAGCCAAATATCCAAAAAGAGAAACTATATCGTTGGTTGATTGGTTATTTTTGGAAAAATCGGTTCCATGGGGTTTGATATTCTTGCTAGGTACATAGCTCCGTACTTATAAAAATACATTCTTAGTCCTATTTCTCTAACTTTAAACTTAATTTACAGGTGGTGGATTTGCCTTAGCCGAAGCAAGTAAGCAAAGTGGTATGACTGTAATGTTGGGAAATTCACTGAAATTCGCACAAAATTTTCCAAACTATATGGTACAATTAATATGCGTTGTAACAGGGGTTTTCTTCACAACTTTCAGTGCAAATGTTGCAATATGCAATATTTTGGTACCAGTAGTATGTGAAATGGTAAACTGAGCATCAGTTATATTATAAAGCCAGTTAATTAATTTAAACGTTAATTTTTAGGCTGTTGCGATAAAGGTACATCCTCTATACTTTGTATTTCCCACAGGCGTTGCTTGCACTATCGCATTTTTCCTTCCCGTCAGCACACCACCAAATGCAATTGTACAAGGATATGCGAATATTCAGACTAAAGATATGGTAAATATACAATTTTATAATTCACAGAGCTTAATTATATATTTATAGGTTATTTGCGGTATTGGACCAACCATTATATGCATTGCACTATTATTTTTAAATGGACAAGTAGCACATGTACTGATTTTTGGTGGTACAGATCTACCTGGTTGGGCCGAGGCTTAGAAATATACTACAATTTTTCAAAACCAAAACCAAAAATAACAAATACTGTTTTTACTTCACAATTAATTAGTATTTATAAATTAATTTGTTTTTATTTTAATTTATAAATTTTTTCAAATATAAAGTACATCCACTTAACATTAAAAGATTAGTTTAGGTTTCAGTTTTTGGAAAGTGTTTATAACTAATAAAAAAAATGTTTTAAAAATTAACTAACTGCGAAAATGAATTATTCTTCTTGAAAAATACAAAATAAAAAATAATTGTTGTTGCTGTATTGTATAGTATAGTATTGCTCTAACAATCCTCAAGTCCACTTCTAGACTCTCAGGAAGATATGCTGATTTAAGGTCCGTCATCAACTAAAAGACAAATAAATGATATGATTTTTTTTTTAGCCTAGTTAAAGCCTAGTGTGGGGTAGAGATAAGCCCCCCAGCCATTATAGAGTAAAAGTGCGTAATAGCACTAACTCAAGAAGAAGAAGAAGAAGTATTGTTTATATCTCTAGCAATCTCTTTTGACATTTTTGTGAGTTTTAATAAGATCGGAACAATACTACAGCAATATTGCTATCCACATAACGATGCAGACGTTTTTATCGCCTTACGGGGTATACTACAAACCAAGTGTCGTTATAGTATGAATTTCTATATAAAAGATGGTGAGAAAATCGGTGAGACTAAATATCAGTTAATGTTTGCTGAAGAGATTTAAAATCCCCGTTTTTCTATTTACTTTTTCAGGAATCATGGTATTAAACTTACAGTAAAAAAAAACACATTTATGTAGAATAACAAAAAAGTATGTGAATAAGAGTACTTAAATCACCATTTTCTGCAGCATCAATGCGTTTTTCCAGTTATAAAATGTGGTAATATAATTTCTAGGCACATTCTCATGTCTTGTGCTAATAGAATTTGTTTTAATTTTGCCACACGATTTTATTTCCAAATCGCATATTGGGGACTCGAAACCGCTTCATACCCTATTGAACCACTCAATAAAAAGAAATATTATTTTTGATATATAACACTTCTGTAGTAATGACATCAATTATTTACGAGGACGTCCTTTTTAGTATAATAAAATATAATTTTTAGCAAAGAAAACAACAGCCTTGACCACTAAAGCTTACTTAAATAAGCAATAGCACATTATGCTACCAACAATAAGTTAATAGCACACTAGACAGAAAGACCTAAAAAGTGGAGTAAAAAAAAAACCAATTTGACAGGTTTATTGGATGTTTTTAAAATTTTGAAGAATGTCAGGTCAATAAAAAAATAGGCCATAAAGAGTTTGAATCTTCCTATAGCTAACTATGGACATTAGGTGCGATACAGTTTTCTTTTTATTCCCAAAGCCTCTACCTCAATAAAAATCATTAGCATACCCAGTTCTTTGTATGCGTTCCAAATAAGCGGTGACTTGTCAGCACCGATACCATAATATTTCATGGAGTGTTTTTGCAACTAGCCGATCATCGAGCAAACTACTTCACTCCCGGCGTTCACTCATAGCGTCCTAATCGTAAACCGCATAAATTGGCATTTTTTGCAGCCTAATTAAAGGATCATCTAATGATATTTCAATATAACTTTTAACAAGAGCGACAAATTACAGAATTGCCTATACAGAAAAATGAAATTAGCTACAAATGCCTCCTTTCAAACACGAACTCATGCCTAAATAGACCAGTTCTGATGTACGGCTGCGAAGTATGGGCGCTCAAAACGAAACATGCCAACTGTTATCCCACGAACAGAATGTACTGAGAAAGATTTTTATTCTAATACGTGTAGATGATGGTACATATCGTAATCGCTACAACCACGAATTAGAGAACTTAATCGATAAGCAGAATGTAATACGACATATAAAATCATAACGATTAAGATGGCTAGGACACGTACAGCGTATGAACCGAGTTCGATCAGTAAAAGAAGCACTTGTAAAAAACTTTATAGGAATCCGAAGAAGAGGCAGATCTATAAAGAGATGGCTAAATGATGCTAAATAAGATTTAATGAAGCTACGCGTGAGCGATTAAAAAAACTTGGCATCAGATTGAGTCAGATAGCAAAAATCTGAGATTTGATAACGCGATGTTGATAAGCCAGTTACTGTTCGTAAATAATTTCAGGGCTCTATCCTTTATGTATTTTTTGATCGGATCAATCTTGAGATACCTGAGGATGTCATTCTTCCTAATGTACTAGGGCACCTTGAAAAGTCTTCTCAGAGCCTGGCTTTGTGCAATTTCTAGCTGGCGAATAGTAATGTTTAAAGTCTTACTGAACGCTACACATCCATACATCCACATAGAAATGACGATAAAATTGTTTGGTTATATAACAGTTTCCTGTTCTTAGCATTGAGATATTTATATTTGAATAGCGGTTGTAGGTGATAAAGAATTTTGGTACAGCTAATTCTTTTCAATTGAAGATGTTCAAGTCATGTGAATCGTTTGGTTATCATGATGGCTAGATGTTTAATGTTATCTTCCTAGTCTATTACCATATTTCCCACTTTCACTGTCGACGGGTTCTGCCTCCACTTACGCGTAATAAATAGAGCTTTAGTTTTTTCATTATGGATTTTTATTTTCCATTTCTGGAAATACGCCAGGATGAGGTTTATATGCTGTTGAAGTGTGTTGGTTATGTTGAGGGCATATTTATCCGAGTATAGCATATACGTATCGTCAACATATAATGCCAAAGTCGAGGGACCTAACATTGGGATATCAGACTTATAAATGTTGTAGAGAGTGGAGGAAAGTGGAGATTCCTGAGGAACACCTGTACTTTGTAAATCCTTAGAAGAATATAAACATAATATTTTTTCTTTTCAAGTAACATTTTTATGTTATGTCAAAACTAAAAAAAAAATTGATATTATATAGATAAACTCTATATTATTTTCAAAAATATTGATTTCACAAATACTGTCAAATTTTAATTCTATTTAGAGTATATTTCTCTTAATAAGGTCTTGAGTTTAAAAATTCGGAACCATGGATGAGTATATATTTAAAATATTATTTCATTCCCAAATTTTCAATTCTTATATTTAAACTATTAGGAATGAAAGGATTGGTATAGGCACTGCTTGTGGGTCATGTTGCGGTAATCACTGGAAGGGTATATTTACTGTTCTAATACCATTAATTGTATTACCTTTACCCGTGCTGCTTCGATCTGATGTAATATCTTTAAAACATTTTTAAAAAATTTACATATATATTGATAAATTATACAGGAGTTTATATGCTTGTACGTCGTTATTGTTATGGCGTTTTATTGGGTAACGGAGGTAGCACCACTATACATAACTTCCTTACTACCAGTGTTTGTGTTTCCAATACTAGGAATACTAGTAAGCTTATGAGTAGTTACTCATGTGAATTAATTAAAAAAATTCTTTTTGCTATTGAAGGATTCAAATACTGTTTGCAAACAATACTTCAAAGATCCACTTGTTATGTTCTTGGGTGGTCTTATGATAGCTTTGTCTATTGAATATTGCAATTTGCACAAACGTATCGCATTGATAACTATCAAGGCAATAGGCTGTAGTCCACGTCGGTATGGGAATATATATTTATATATATATATATATGACTTTTACACTAATAAATATATATTTTTCTTGTACTTTTGTAATTATAAAGTTTACATTTTGGTCTTGTTGCGGTGTCTTCATTTATTTCAATGTGGATTTCAAATGCAGCTACTACTGCTATGATGTGTCCTGTTATACGTGCCGTCTTGGATGAATTAAAGGGGGTATACATACATCAAATGATTATAAATTGTTAATAATTTTAAAGCTTATCATTTCAGCAAAATATTATTGAAATCTACAATTCTGCAGATAATGAGAAGCAAATGGATGAAAGAGAGTATGATTTTTTTAAGTCATCTTTAAATATCAATATTATATAGACGTTGTTGTTTCTTTAAGTAAATCTCCCTCGCCAATTGCTTTGGGTTATTATTTGAGTAGCGCGTATGCAACTACTGTTGGCGGTTGTGGTACACTCATTGGAACCGGAACTAATTTGACTTTTAAAGGAATTTATGATACGTAAGTAGTGATATTTAGTAGTAATATTTAAACTGTATTATTTAAAAATAGTTATATATTTGGGTTAAATAATATACTTGTTGAACATTCGAATTCGAACAGTTAGATAGATTAGATTAGATTTCAAAAGCTCAAAGATATTTAAATACTTGAATAGTTGATCTGTTGGTATTTAAATACTCGAATAGTTGAGAGGATATTACAGTATATGAATATCGTGCAATATATGATGTTCAGACATTATTGATCAAATTACTGTGTATATCTGAACAGCAAAATGCTCAATGCTTTATAGTTGTAAGTGTTATAAGACTAGGTGAAAAATATTTAAGTTTAGAGTCAAACATATTCTGAACAAACGATTTTGGATGTATAAGCCGTGTAAACCACAGTAATCGTTCCACAATGTATTTTATTAGTGCTTAAAGTCAGGCTCTTTGAAGACTCTTCAAAGTGTCATGGTGCATCTGCACTAATGACATGCTAAGAGACCTTAGAATAGATCCGCTCAAAAAATACATAAGGGACAGAGCTTTGAAGTTATATGCGAAAGCCGACAGACTGCCCTACTTAACACTGTCTTATCTCAGAGTAATCATTACGCAGATCTTAGATCAGTCATTGAATAATCACGAAGCTTATGAGGATTACACAACTTAGTCAGTGAGCTATCAAAGAGTAAAAGTGCCCAGATGCACTAACTCGGAAAAGGGTCAACATTAGTGTCGTCATATAAGATTGATCTTTGTAAATTTTTTGTGACAATCATCAAATATTAATGAATATTTAAATTAATTTCATACTTATCAAATCATTTGGGGAGGTGAAATATATATCGTTGTCGCTTGATACATAATTAGAGTACGATGTTTTATATTATTAAAAAGTCCACATAAAAAACCAAATTCTTTAATTTTGTATATCACATAACTATTTAATTAACAATTTTAATTCTTTATAGACGTTTTCCAGAAGCCACCGATGAAATCAGTTTTCCAGGATTTATAGCTTATGCACTCCCCTTTGTAATTATCATGACTGGACTCCTATATTTTTCGATGCAAATAAGTCATTTTGGTATGTTTCGTCCAAATAGTGAGATAGGTAAGCAAGTAACTTATGCAACTGAAAATGCTGGAGTCGTTAAGAAGGTCATCGACCAGCGTTATGAAGAACTTGGACCAATGTCATGCCATGAAAAACAAGTAGTGATATTATTTATTTTGATGGTTGTGTTGTTATTCACGCGCAAACCTGGTTTCGTTACTGGTTGGGCTGAAGTTGTCACTGATAAGTATGCATTTCATATTAGAAAGCATGTTTATGCATTTATATTAATTAATTTATATTAATTAACAGGGCAGTTAACAGTTCTGCTCCAATGGTATTTGTTCTCTTTTGGCTATTTATTTTTCCAATAAATTGTGCCTGTTTGAAGTTTTGTAAATCAAAGGGTATTTTGGTGAAAAATTTCATGTAATATAAAAATTTATTAATTAATTATATTGTTACAGCAAAGGGTCGTCCAAAGAGTCAACTTCCAGCGCTTATCAGTTGGTTTTTTTTAAACAAAGAAACTCCATGGGGCTTAGTTTTTCTACTTGGTAAGTGTAATTCCTTAAATATTATATAGATCTACAAATAGTTAAAAATGAATGTATTATTAAACGATATTCTAGAATTTAATTGTTTCAGTAGAATAGCAGCTACAATAGTCTTTCTATAGTAAAGAACTAGTATTGCTAGCACTTTCCAATCATTAATTTATATATTTAATAGTTTTATCAAATCAACAAATATCATTTTAATCTAATCAGGATGATTAATAGTCTTATAATCTTAATCATATTTCTAAGGTGGTGGCTTTGCTTTGGCAGAAGGTAGCACGCAGAGTGGCATGGCTAAGATGCTTGGAAATTCATTGAAATTTGCGCAAAGTTTTCCAAGTAGTATAGTTCAATTATTTTGTGTGGTCACGGGTGTGTTCTTTACCGCCTTTAGTGCGAACGTTGCTATTGCCAATATACTTATTCCTGTTGTAAGCGAAATGGTAATAAAATATCTCGCATTGTAAATATTATATTATTTAATTAATTTTTTTGTATCGATCTCCAGGCTGTTGCTATAAAAATTCATCCATTGTATTTTGTATTCCCTACTGGATTAGCATGCAGTATTGCTTTTCTTTTACCTGTTAGTACGCCAGCAAATGCCATTGTCTCGGGATATGCAAATATCAAGACTAAAGATATGGTATATATATAATGAAATTTTTTAATAAAAAAACAACTAATATAAAATTTTACATATTTATTACATAGGTTATAGCTGGCCTACTGCCAACATTCTTTTCAATTTTGCTTTTATCAATAAACGGTTTGACTTGGCATTCTATTATCTATCCTGGATTAGAGTTACCAAGTTGGGCTAAATAATCGTTAAGATTCAAATATAAAGGAATATAAAGGAAAATATTAATACTACAAGATAGAAGTACTTTTAATTTTTAATTTCAAGTTAAACTTATTAATTTAATTTTTATTAGTTAAAATGAAAGCTGTACATTAAAACACAAATTAAAATTAATATTATTATTTAACTAAAATATATGAAAAATCACCTTTTCACTTTATCTAAGAAAAAGAAAACATCTATATTCGTAATACCACAAAGCATCAAACAATAAAATATCCTTGCTAAGTACAAGGTGAGATGAAAAAACTGCAACAAAGTAAAACGCCATAATTTTTTCATTTTTTTTAAATTTTATTGAATGAAAGCAAAAAATGTCGGAAATAACATCAAATTTGAGAATCGGTTTAGATTTGTTCGAATTGGGCACCTTTGGCACGAACTATGGCCTTCAAACGGCCAATGAAACCATCACACGCTGCCCGAAAGTGGCTCTGCGGTATTTTGTCCCATTCTCGGCGAAGCGCTTGCTTGAGATGATCGACATTTTGGTATTTTTTAGTGCCAACCTTGCTTTCCAAAATACCCCAGGCACAATAGTCCAACGGTTTGGCATCCGGAGATTTTGGTGGGCATTGTGCGGTGGAAATGAAGCGAGGAACCTCATTTCTTAACCATTCTTGGGTAGCGCGTGCTGAGTGCGATGGTGCTGAGTCCTGTTGGAATGTCCAAGGTCTGCGGCCGAAATGTTTGCGTGCCCAGGGCTTCAGAACTCCCTCCAAAATATTTTCGCGATAGATTTGCGCATTTAATTTGACCCCACGGTCGATGAATACGAGCGGCGAGCGACCATCGGCTGTTATGGCGGCCCACACCATCACCATGGCCGGCTTTTGAGTTGTGATGGCCAACCGAAGTTGCAAATTTTCAGCTGACCTCTCTGGCAAGTAAACACGATCATTTTGTTTGTTTACAAACTGCTGGATAACGAATGGTTTCTCATCGGAGAAAACCAAATTCGGCAGTTCACCACTTTCGGCCAAGCGAAACAACTCTTTAGCTTTTTCGAGTCTAACTTTTTTTTGCGCATCAGTAAGATCTTGCACTTTTTGGAACTTGAATGGCTTTAGTCCAAGCTCATTTTTCAATATTTGCCGAATGGCATATTGCGATATGTTCAGCTCACGAGCCATTTTTCGTCCACTGCGACGCGGATTTCGTTCAATTCGCTTTTTCACTTTTCGAACCATTTCTGCCGATGTTGCTGTTTTTTTTCGTCCACTTCCTTGACGTCGGGCTACGCTACCAGTATCATGGTAACGAGCGATGGTACGAGACACAAAACATTTATTCACTTCTAAATGCTGGAGGGCTCTAACGATAGCCACTTGTGGTTTTCCAGCCAAATGCAAAGCAATCACACTATCACGCTTGAATTCCATCACAAATAACTTTTTTTTTGAAAAATTCCCACCAAAATGCTTTTGTGCGCTTGTAAACAATATAATGAGCTGTCACTAGAATAAATCTGACAGCTGTGGGACGAGCGGTTTAGAAATGACAGCAGTCTGAAGTTGGTTGCAGTTTTTTCATCTCACCTTGTATATATAACTTTTAATTCAACATAATGATTAATTATTATTTGGGTTACTTTTCAATATGACGACTAGGCTAGGTTTACTTTGATCTGCAAATAATGATCAATTTTTTATTTCTAATTTTAAATAGTTTTCATAATCTAGCATCTTCTGTACATATATGTCTAATAAGAGAAGAAATGAGGGTCATTATATTTTGAGTCTTATTAACACTGATTGTGTACAGGTGTCATTTGACGTTTCCATACGAAAGTTTGACATTATTAAACATAACCTACTTTAGACTTTTTATCAAAATAACGTTATTTATGTTACAAATATTTAGTTATTTGTAAATTGAGTGTTCGCGAAGAAATGGAATTAACGTGAGAAAATTTTACGATTTTGGATATGGATTATCAAGACAAGAGTCGGATCATTCTTCATCTTCATCAAGATAATGCGAGTGTTCACACATCTCGTCTAACAACCAACTATTTGAACATTAAAAAAACCGAATTAGTCGGTCATTGAATAGATGGTACAGTCCTGATTTGGCACCCAATGGTTTCTTCTTTCCGAACAAGAATAAAGCATATAATGCATTTAAAAACCATGTTTTAGAGGTGTCTGAGAAAGATTGGAAAAAATGCTTTGACAAATGGTTTAAATGCATGCAAAAGTGTATTAATCATAAAGAAGAATACTTCGAGAAACAATAAAGCAAAATATACATAGTGACTCTCTTATATATGTATGTATATCAAATGAAGTTAGGAATATATTTTTTAACACTTTTGATGACGTTCTTACGATTACGATTAAAAAAGTATAACCAAATATATAAATCATGGGAAAATTTTTGACAAATATTTGTCTACATGGAAATGTCAATATTAATCTTCTAATTTTATAAAATATATAGAACAATAAATATAAAACGTGAAACTAATTTTGGTATTAAGGACTTGTGCGAGTTAGGATAAGTTGCATTCTAAATGAGGGAAATTCTAAGTTATAATGTAGTGATGTATCGATACGTGTTGATAAATGGCTAAATGTGTGCAATGCAAAATATCCCAAAAAATATCCCTAAAATTTAAAATTTATTAAAAATAAAGTCCTTCATATTTATAATGTTAGCAAGTATCCGTATCCTGTAATCCTCAATTTAATACTTAAGGAAAGTGATATAGACACCAGTTATATATTGTATTTTTTTGAATGCTATGTCTCTAACGTGGACTCTAAACATTAAACTAGAATTAAATTTTTAATGTTTATACAGATTCTTAGTTAAAACTGAATATAATATACATACGAATAATATCTAATATCTCAGCTCAGTTTTATTCAAATAAGCATACATACCATATGTTAAACGATTCACATAAAAATTTAAAAAACGGGGACATTTTTTAGTTTTTAAAAATGTTTGCATAAAAATTGGTTTTTGAGTTATTAAATTAATTGATATCTATCTTGTTATGAAATAAAATTTTCAAAGGAATGTATTGTTTGCAACAAGATCTTACTTCAACGATGGATAGGGAAAATTTAAATAATTGCACTACAAAATAAATAAGAAAATATCTAAAAATATGCAGTATATTAACCCTACATTCAGTAAGACATCTGCTTTTTTTGGTTTGTCTGATGGAAGAGAATTCTAAGTTCTAAACATTTAAGAAGCAATGGGTAAAATCTTTTATAATGTATTCTTAAGAGGTATTTTTAGTGGCTTAAAATCTCACTTTTGATCCTTTTCACCTATAAAAAAAATTAATATAACATTATTTACTAACGTGATTTAGTTTCAGTTGAAAATTCAACTGCTAAACTGTATACATATTAATTATTAAATGAATTGTTCAATTGTGAACCTTTTTACATCACCCTCAAGCATAGAGCTTAAGTTAACCCACGCGTATATAGCAGACGCCGACATTGGAATATGAATTGTAGGGCCAAATTTCCAGAAGGCAGCAGCATTGGGTCAAGTGGCTTCCATTTGGCATATGCATACGCAAGGACACTCGCGAGACCAGCATGTGCATCCTTTCAGATAGTCAAGCAGCTTTAAAATCACAAGCAGCCCTTCACGTTCCAATCACATTTGGTTTGGGATTGTTTCAATTTTCTCAACATCTTAGCAATGATGAGTTTTGTGGCTCTGCTATGGATACCGGGAAATGAGGGGCACGAAGACAATGAAAGGGCGGATGTTCTGACTCAAAAAGGAAGCAAATACCTTTTGTATGCTCGGAACCTTTCTGCGGTGCTAACAGCATCAAAATCAGCCTAGTACGTGAAAGCGAAAAACAAAATCTAACTGATTTTTGGACCACCCAAAAAAAGCATGCGGCAGTTAAAATGCCTTATTATCCCTCAACATAGGTATAAAGGCTGAAACTATTCTGAACTTAAGCAGAACAAATACAAAACTGCACACGGAACTGTTAACAGACCACTGTAGACTCCGATACCATCTGAAAAAGTTTGGTCTATCAGAAAACGATTCCTGCCGACTCTGTCAAGAGGAACAGGAAACAGTAAACCACGTTCTAAACACCTGCCCAGCCGTGATAAGATACAGACACAGCTATCTAGGCAGTGTAGTTTTGAGCCCTAAACACCTATTTAAAATGCGGTCTACAATTGCAATAAAATTCTTAAAAAGTTTGGAATTGGACTAGTTGGGCGAAAGTCTGCACAAAAGATCTTTCAGGTCGCAGCGCATGCACAGTATGTTCATAATAATAATAATAGCAGTTTAAGCAGATATCAAAATATTACCCAAAACAGACCCAAAAACATGCAAGAGAAACGATGAAATTTCCAATTTAGATCAGGCTAAAGATCTGGTTCATACCTACAGTTATGGGAAGGTATCCTTCTTCAGCAGAATAGAGTCGAGTTTGCTGGGAGGATATTTAACGGGTCACCATGGACTACGTTATCACCTTAACAAAATGGGTCTGTACAAAGAGAGATATTGTCGACTCTGCTTAGAAGCAGAGTCACATTCTCTGCCAGTCACATTCTCTGTGATTGCCCAGCCTTGATTTGGACCAGGAGGAGGTCACTAGGTTTAGAACTACTCTCCACTTCTGACATTGGGAGGTCTACAACGGCTGAAATTTGAGCTTTCATTCGAAAAGCCATTCTGCGGAATGTCTTCTGTTCGGTTAGGGTCTGTTGCAGCACAAAAGATCAATCTGATCGCTGGGAGCTAGTACCCCGTTTATTCCTATTCCTATACTAAAATTTTTAAGAATTTTTTTTTTTGTTATTTTTTTAAATTATCTTACATAAATGATAAATAAATTTATCATTGCTTCCTTATGATAACACTGATAGCACTTCCTTTTATCGAACAGGAAAATAAAAAGTTATCGTTTTTATTTAAGGTTAACTCCTTAAATTTTTTTACCGTTTAATAAAAAACTAAGTTTTCGATTATATATTTTGAATTTAAATCAGTATTACAAAATACTTCTCCGCAGGAA